GAGCGTGCAAAAGTTTGTCTGGGTTCAACCCGGGGGGGGAAAAATAAATAAAGAGAGTAGGAGGAGAAATCCAGCCCCTGTTTTTCGGGGGGATGGTTACATTTTAATTTTTAAAAAAAGAAAAACTTTTTTAAAAGTTTTGTAAAAAAAAGAAATTGGGTTTTTGTGTTGTGGGGGGGGGGGGGGGGGGGGGGGGGGGGAGAGGGAGTGAGTGAAGGACTTGCGCTCGAAATGACAGCTTCTCTACCTCCCTGTGGTGGCCTAGCCTGCAAATACAGCTGTCTCTCCTCGCTGATAGAGACACCTACATTGCGGCGAAGAGCATGGAGGGCGGCTGTATTCGCAGGCTAGTGATATTAGTGGTAGCCAATCTACCTTGTCAACTCAGTTGATAATAACCTGCGTGCCAAGCGTTTTCGCTCGAGTTAATGCGAAATCAAAAATAAATAAATGAAAGAAGGGGGAGGGGAGAGAAGAAAACTTTTCCTCCCCCTCTCCCTCCCCCTACCTCCATTTTTTTTAAGAGGGGGTGGGGGTCTCGCTCCAAGTTTTCGCGCAATAACTCGAGCGGAAACGCTCGCTACGCAGGCTAAGTTGATAAAAACAATCTTTTCTCATTGCCTAAGAGACATAAAATACTAAAAAAACCTATTTAGATATTTGTACACAGACTAAAAATTTGGAACCGCCTTTATCTTTATAGGCTCGGAAAGTACTTAATTGTCGTTAAAGATAACACCTTAGAATTTTAACCTTAGAGCCTAAGTTCGCTCAAGTAACTTAACTGTACTAATCAATGTTTTTCCACTAATATGTTCTTTTGATGTAAATACATTGTCAGACATAATGCAGAAAAAAACTTTTAAAACAAAGTGTATAATAATGAACGAAGCAATATCTTTGAGTAAGACTGGTGCAAAAAATGTGAGCAGCTTGAAAATTAGAACATTATTTATAATGAATTCTCTTCTTTTCAATTGGTGTGTTTATTTTAGGATCTTTTATCGCAAGTTTGAGTTGATAAAAACGGGACTTAAGCATCCTACGAGTTTGACACAGCGTTTGAGCCGATTGAATCGCTGCCCGGTTAGCACAATGGAATACAGGGGCGGATCTAGGGGGAGGGTGCAGGGGGTGCGCACCCCCACCCCCACCCCCTCCCTGAGATGACCTGCGGTTTTCTAATACAACTGGTATTCTGCCAAAAAAAAAAAAGTTTTGTGGTTTATTGGTGTTGAAGTAGAGCAAAAGACGAGTGCACCCCCTCCTAAAAAATATCCTGGATCTGCCCCTGGGATAAGCGCTGGTCTGCTGAGCTGGAGGCCGTAGGTTCAAACCCCGGCCGGAACAACAGTCGGGATCTTTAAATAACTGAGGAGAAAGTGCTGCTTTTGTAATAACATCTGAAAACGGTTAGACTTTCTAGTCTTCTCGGATAAGGACGATAAACCGTAGGCCCCCTCTCACAACCCCTTGCACATGTAATAAATCTATGGGACGTTAAAGAACTCACACACTCTTTGTAAAGAGTAGGGCACGTAGTGCCCGGTGTGGTGGTCTATCTCACTTTCACACTCACGTATAGGGGCATCATTACTTATTCCTTTATTACTTGTAAACTGCACCTTAAGCAGTCTGGCAAAGTCCCCCAACCAGTGTTGTAAATTATCCCTGAAAAGCCCTGTGAGGAGTGGATAATAAGATATTTACAATTTACAAGCGCAATGCATTGAGGGAAGACATTTATTCCTCTGCGTTGTTCGCGCTGGGCACCAGACCACCGGCTGCGTTTTCCCCGGCCTAGGCCTTGCATCAGTTACATTTTCCCCGCGTTTTTGATGCCGTTTGCGTGTTCTGCTGCCGGTTGCGTTTTTTTAACGCACTTGACTCTTTGGTTGTTTACCATGTTCAAAACGTTTCTGGAAAATCCGGCGGGAAAGTAAGTTAGTTAGTCGCCAGTCACTTTGGTCTAGCATTGCCATTCTGAGACCTCCAATGGTGAAGAACCCGGTGTCCTGAAGCAAAGTGTGAAAAACTTTTTATCGGGTCGTTTTAGTGGAAAATTTCCGGGAGCAACGGAACTTCTGAAAAGGTAGTTCTGTTTTTCCGGTCGGAATGTTCCAAACGGAAATTCGTGTTCCATTTCTTCAAAGCCATCTTTGATACCAGTTTCAGGCCTTCGCAGTCGTTTTCCGGTAAATGGAACTGATTCGTACAAATGGCAAACGCGATTCCCGAATGAAATTTACCAGTCCTGAATTTCGCTTTCCATTTGCCGAAACTGTGAACCGACCGGTTTGCCCATGAAAATGGTAAAAAACCTTTGAGTTGACTCAAACGGGAAACTGGACAAACAAAACTGTCCGTTATACACGGCTGTCCGTTGAGAGGTGTTCCACAGTTCAGGTGAAAGAGGAGAAAAAGGCCGGCGAGTGAGGGAGGAACAACTTTATACTGAGCTTCTGACTAATAAGATACCTTAAACTGAATTCTGGGGCTTTAGATTGAGCCACCTGTTATTGTATACAGCAATATAGCTTAGAAAAAGTAATGCGCAAATCTTGGTATGCTACACTGTTCTTTTATGATATATTTCTCAACACTGTTCCATAACTCCCCATTAACGTTATCTACGTGAAAAGAGTCGGGCTATCAGGTTCGACTTTCACCTTCTTTGAGCATTTCTTCCCCTGCCATACCATTCGTCGGTTTGCTAGTAAAGGTCCCGACTTGGGATGACTCTTCCTCAACTTTTGGCAATTCGTTCCTCACTTTAGATGACTCGTCCCGATCTTTGGTCGAGTCGTCCCGAACTTTGGTTGACTCGTCACCGAATTTGGTTGACTCCTCTCGAACTTTCCCTAAGTTTAGTTGACTCGACCCCCACCGTGCTAACATCGAGGAAGGAGTCGGTCAATTCTGGAAATGAAATGACAAGGGACGAAAATTTCTAGCATAGCATGGCTTCCATTTAAAGAAAAGAAATTATAAGATCCTTTTTGTCGGCTCCTCAGTTTGGATTACCTTTGCTTCTCTCAGAGTCAGGCCAACAAAGAAAAAAAACAAGCTTTTTGTCACATCAACTCGAAAACCTTCAAGAGAAGAAGAACTACTTGCTCTTATTTTTGCTACAAGTTATAATGGTTTGAGAGAGAGCGTCTTTGACGTGTCTTCCTCTACAGTTTTTGATGTATTCAACCGGGATTCAACTATAGCTGAAAGGCATGCTAGCTTGGTTTTACAGCCATCATGGTGTTTATGTCCCACATTAAGGTTCTAAGCTGGTCGATCAAGTCTTTTATTTCCTGATTTTTGCTTCGGAGTTTCTGTTAAAAATGAAAGACAAAAAAATAGAACTATTAGTGTTTACAATAATGAATTGGCGGTATCCAGCTGATTAAAAGCCCTCTACCTTTATTTCCTTTTTTCCAAAATTATATTCATCGGTGGCTAGAATCTATCTTTGAGGTTGCAGTTAGTTAGTTTCAACACCCATGTTGTGGTTTACATTATTCTAAACTGAAGATATAAATTCAAAGTACAGAGTAACCTGCATTAAGCTGACACTCTGGGACCTTGCTAGTGTTCGCCTTATACAGACTTGAGAATCCTTATCTAGGGGTGAGATGGGCAAGAAAGTTGTCTTTGTTCATCTTTTATTTGAAACAGCTAAACCATGGGTGGTCCAAGTTCGAAATATGCCCATCGTCACTGTTGCATAATGTTCAAAATATAAGGATTTGTATCGGAGAAAAAACAATATTGTTTCTTTGGCCTATGAATGTAGAAGGATTTAAATAAAAATCAGCTAACCTTGCTTAAGTTGTGTGTTTCTTCTTTCCTGTGTGGTTTCCGAGCT